TTCCTGGATCAAATAGCATACATTTGTTATTCCACTGTCTATTTTCTGGAGAACAGACTAAAATTAATCAGACTTTAACGTACCCCAGGTCCCCAGAGACCTCAGAGGAGATGGACGGATGGATAATAAAAGGATAGGGTGGAAACATGCCTCACTCAAAACAGTCTCAACCTAGAGGGGTTATAAATAGTCTCATCCTTAGGGGTCTGCATTCCTTCCAAGAGGTGATTTCAGCACCTTATTGATCAGGTCTCATGATAACATTACACAGGTCTCATAAGAATTGGCCCACAAAAGGTTTCATTTACTGTTAAAACAGCTGCTTGCTTCAAATAGACTTTCAAGTCTGTCTTGAATTGACAGGGTGCATCTTTCTTGCTTCTGAATGACAGTGTTTTCTTTTTGTACAAGGAGCCCTTTGGCTCAGATGTTCAAAAGTCACTGGTGATTTTAGGTGCTGCATGGATTTGAGCCGTGCATCAAGTGACAGAGTTTTGCCAAAGGGTGATACAAGGCTTCCACCCTGCTACTCTGCAAGTTGTGGTTGCATAAACTAATGCTGATAACTAACTGTGGTCCCCCTACACCAGGGGGAATGGGATTGTGGCAGTAACCCCAGAAGATAATATAGAAAGACACAGACAGAAATGACAATTTTTGCCAGATCTGGCCCCTGAAATCACTCTACAACAGTGACCAAACACAAGTGCATAGCTGCAGAGCACTTTACAAGGGCTGAAAATCTGAACCCTTATTGCATGAAAGTTCAGCTGAAGGCACTCCAAAGTGGAGCACCTTCATTAACTTCTGTCTGTGCTTGCAGGGATCAGCTGCAAGCGGCACAGTTTTCACAATGGGAGAGGGGGAAGGGAGTGGAGAGTGCAGTGGGTGGATTCGAGCCCCCTTCAGGTGGGGGGCTCCAATCTGCCCCACCCCCATCGCAGCTTGGGAAACTCCAGAACGGATCTCCCTCTCCTACCTTTTTCCCCTCCCATCCTATGTCAGCATGGGAGCTGGAGGGAGGGAGAGTAGAGCTAGGGGAAGAGGCTGCAGAGACATAGCCTCTCTCCCTGGATCAGCTCCAAATTGGAGCTCAATCTGATAATATCTGTTGGGTTGAGAGGATCGGTCTAACTCGTGCCGTTTTATGTAAAGCGCCATGAGTTAGACCCGGAAGCTGCACTTGTGTCTTCCTGAAGTGACATAATTCCTTTTGAAAACCTTCCCCCCACATCTCAGAGATCAAGGAAATGGTATCCCTGAGTAGGGCTGCATGGAAAAAAGCCACACGCACTCAGTCACAATGAAAGAGTTGCACCCAGATTTTCACTGCCCCTTTGCATCTTTACCACAATACTGGGCCTGATAGTCCCCTAAGCACCAGACATCCATAATATGACCTCAAAAGTTAAAAAGGAGGTCTACCTAGTGGTCTTGAATCCTAATCAGAAGGAGGACATTCCACCAAGAAAGAAAACAGCCCTAAAGGGCGATTTTCTCTTTTGTTTAAGGAGCTGCTTGAAGCCTGGCGGCAAAACATTCATTTCTTCATTTTTTCCCCCTGACTGACACATTTTAGATAGGCCTCTTATAAGCTCAGCTCCATGAGGCAATGATATTCTTTCAAGCTCCAATGCTAATTCTCCATTGTTCTTAATTAGGGAAGATATGGAGCAGACACACACAGCATTGCTTTGCTTGGCTCCCATTAAAATCCACTAATGAGGCAAAACACAAAAAGTGACCCACGCAAAGGGGAGGGGGGTAGGGTTTTAAGACAAAAAGCACCCCAAATGCTGTTAACTGATTAAAATGAAATGGTAATTTACATGGACCTGAGCATCAATTTACATTTCATGCTGATGTCCTTGACGAGCTGAAAAGCTGACATCACCGTAGGTTCTTTTCTTCTTGCAATGTTCTTTAAAAAAACCCATGTTTTCGTTAATTAAAGCTCATTCTGTCGTTACTGCTAGGCAGCGGTACCCTCTGAATGGATTGTGATATGCGTGTGCGTGTGTATGTGAATAAATCAGCAATAATGATATACCTTGGGCAAAGAATATTTTGGCAGCTTCATCTGTGCAAACGCGTTTCGCCTATAGGACACATAATAATGTGGCCGTCCTCCTGATGTTAACTGCAATAGAAAAGAGAATTTTATAATCAGGATTGTTTTCCTTTAAAGCAGAGAGAAAGTGTCAGGCAAGATGGAAAGGCAAATGCAACCATGTTGGTGGTAGTTTAAAACTGCAGCACAGTAATAGGTGGGGAAAAAAAACACCCATCCATCAAGCTGTCAGCGGCTGAGATTGTCAGAGTAAGTGTTGGGCCTAATGTTTGTAAGTAAGGAAAAAGGGCAACATTATGGTGATGGCTGGAGGAAGGCAAAACTACTGATTTCCATGAGGCCAAAATTTCCTCCCCCAATCTTACAGACATATTGCTGACTACCACGGTACATTTGGGGTCCTCATTTTTTGCAGATCAGTGGATTGGGATTCCTGGATTCCATCTCCAGCCCTGTTGCAGATCTGCTATGTGGCATTGCATAAGCCGTTATCCTTAAGGATTTTCAGACGATCCGAGCCAACGGGAACTGAAAACCTAGCCTTTTATTTAGATGCCTAAATATACATGGAATTGCCTCGAAAAACCTGGAATTGAATGTGGCATGTTTCTTTTTTTTTTCTCACTTGCAAAAAGGGTCTGATAACATTATCTGGCTCGCCGTAATGTTGTGAAGTTTAATCGATGTTTGTGAAGTACTTTGAAAACCTTAGATGAAAGGTGTTAATATCAATGTAAAGAATGGCAATTCTAAGAGATCCTTTGTGCAGAAGTTTGCCTTAATTGCTTTAAGTACAGTTTCAACCAAGATGTTTTGCCATCGTGGGTGTTTTAAAATGCTCTATCATTAGTTATTCAAAATGAATTGTACACAGAGGTTAAATTCGTAATAGATTAAGAAAAAAGAAATCATCTCATATAACTTCCATCCATAATTAACTGATTGCCAGCTCAAAATGAAGACAAAAAAAACCCCCTACAAGCAAATATATTTGAAATTCTTCATTTCTGTAAATGAAGATTACTTCTAATGGGCAATTAATTCTGTTCCTCTTTCAGGCATCCAGAGAGTTCAACCACTTAGATTTTAGAGGATACCATTTCAATGGCTAAGTAAGACACGCTACATCTAAGCCCTTTCTATTTTGCCGTTCCGATCTCAAAGCACATCACAGTCATTAACAAATTAAGCCTCGCAATGCTCCTGGAGGCTAAGGGCAAACTTAGAGGGAATATTTCCCTTCTTAATTGAAATGCAGCTACCTCTGGGATGGAACGAAGCCTATATTTAACTGCCTATAAAACACAGCACAATGGCCTAAGAACGGAAATGAAACATAGTGAAACAGAAGACTTAGCTAAGAAGTTAAAAAGTAATTACTCAGAAAGGAATCTTGAAAAAAGCAGTAGGATTAACACGATTTTTGTTACCGTATATATCACAGATGCAATCAGAACATCAAAGAGAAGTCACCTCCAGCATCTCGGTGCTTATACAACGATACTGAAGCTACCGCATTAATAGAAGATCTTTAAGTATTGAGTCAGCCATATTGCTACTACCACTATCCAGTTTGAAATTAGTGGAACTCTAGACCCGTGGTTCTGAACCTTAAGGCAACTGTTGGACAATGCCAGTTCTTAGCTTTCATTTGTTTCTTGACTACTGAAACAAAAAATGGAGCAATTCCTGTTGCAAAGGACTCAGAAAGACCAAAACAAGTCGGAAGGTTTTTGACACTTTGGATTTGTACTTGAAGTCTCTTGTCCATTTGTTTTATTTTATTCCAGAAGATTTTAAAATAGAGTGCTGGAGGCCAAGAACAGGAATTTGCACACCTAACAGTGTTAATATTACATGGCATCCCACAGCATCCTTATAGGATCTCACAGTGCCCTAGGGCGCTGTGGCACACTGGTTTAGGCTATTGGTTCTGGCTCTGCTTTCATGAAAGCTAACACAATTGTAAATGGTAGTCTAGACACCGCACCAATGTGCATTTATACTTGGGCCAAACCACACATGCTTACATCCTGCAACAAAAGTCAGTGTATGCAATTAAATAGTATTTATGGTCATGTCCAAGTGAGCATGGCCAGACATTTATGGCATGGCCAGAATGTATTTATGGCCACATCCAGACATGTCTGTGATGCCACATATCACACATTCAACTGTGATGCAAGGAGCAGCATAGGGGTTTTTTTTGGCCTCAGCCTTCCCTACCCCACTTGGGGTAACCTGCCACATGCCAGAGGGCGTGTGGCACAGGTGTTCCCCAGGGACAACTAGCAGCGGCACAAGGTGCATTGCCACTAGTTGTCCCCAGGGAACCAAACATCCACTCTTGCCTGGACGTGGCCTATGTTTGCATTAGTCAGCCTGAGCTAATTAGCACAGTTAATCTGAGTAGTACACAGGCAGACCCTGAAAAAGACAACGCCTCCACTTAAGCAAGCCAGAAATATTAAATCTTGGACATGCAGATTGTTCCTAGCTCCTCTGCACTGTTTTCCCTAGCTCTGTTACTGAACGGACAGCAGCAACAGGGTAAAGCAAACTGCAGCAGTTTGGATGCATTCTCAGGCTCTCACCTGGAACAGAGCTTGGGCAAATACAGCTCATCTCCATCTTTGTCACAATCTCCGTGGTGGAGGCATGACAATAATGGCTGATTAATCCCCCAGCCCTTCCTTCCATCTCCCTCTCCCTCTCCTCCTCTCTCAATAAAAGCCTTGATTGGTCTCCTGCACTTCTGAGAGTGAGCGAGGGACACGCCAGCTTGCAGCCTGATGTCATAGGAGCGCCTCCTGGAACGCGTGATGAGGCTGCCTGATTGCCAATGCGGATGACTCCAGTGCATATCCTAGACGCTTCAGGCAGGACCTCCATGACCCCATGTTGATAGGATACTTGAGGCAGAGTTAGAAGGAACCAATTAGCATTCAGGTGGGCTGATGCTCTTCCCAGCACTACTTACAGGGACTCAGGGTTGTCAGGCTGATTGCATGTGTGTTGTAACTTCTATACTCATAAAAGGGGAGTGAGAGAGAATCGTTTTGGCTCAATAAGAGAAGTGGATGATGCGCACCTGAACAAACACATAATCATCCTGGACAATCAGGGAGTTGGGGTCAATGTAGCCTGGGAATGGCTTGCTCCGGGTGGCTTCCGTGCAATTCTGCACCCGGCAGGTGATGTATTGAGCATCTGCAAGCACAAGGATAAAAGTCAGTACAAGGAAGGTGATCAGCACAGACTCTCTTTACCCCACTGCACCCGATGCCATATTCCCACCTTCCTTCTCCCCAACCTGATCTGACCTTTTATTTGATTTTTTGTTTCAAATGATATTAAAACATGCCCAACCAGAGCGCTGGAGGCCAGCGATTGTCCTTCTGTATTGCAAACATGCCCAAAAGCCCAGATGCCGAAATGAGACCCCGGTGCACTAGGCTCTGTACAAACCACAGCACAGCCCTTGCCCCACAATGAACTTACAATTAATAATGGAAATGAATCTAAATTAAAGAATGAAATATGTGGTTTAGGGGAAGATGGAGCCATATTTTCAGCCATGGGTGGGAAGCACACAGCATGGCTGTGTTTGTATGCAACGCTAGCCCTATCATACCCTTTACTCTGCCCCTCTTGGGACCAGCAGTAGGCCAATCAGGTCCCCAGAGTGAGGAGGACAGACCTAAAGTCTCTCATATACTTTCTTGCATTGCAGGCCTCAAAGTGCCATTCTGGTACTCCAGGACTGCTAGGGGAGTGTAGACCCCAGGTCTATCCCAGGCAGCCTTGGCTATTTTAGCCTGTGCAGACAATAGAGATGGAAAGGCTGGAAGGCCCCCAAACCAATGCCCAGTACTTTGCCCTTTGGCTTCCACATCCCCAGCAATGGCAGGACTGCTCAGCTTTTGCAGGCACCTTCAGATAAAAGCCAAAGTATCATGGCCATTCTGCTCTACATCCAGCCAGCAGAAGTGGTTCAATCGCATGAGACTATACTCTGCTTTACGATGGCCCTGCAGGTAGTGTTTCTGCTCAGCAGTGTGTAATACCTCTGCCTCTGCACCTGTAAATACTTAGCCTCACTCTTAACCTTACACACACAACTATAATCTCTGGGTTCAACCAATCTATTCATTGGCTTGAACTTAAATCTGTCCTTGAGCCCATGCAGAAGCAGGACCTGTCGCAGTAACGGAGGGAGTATAAAGGCGGTCCTGAAAGACCCTAAATTCTTTTGGACTTTGCAGCTCCTGAAGTGACTATAACAGCCTTGTTATTGAATGGCAAAACACAGGGCCCAGTAACTCTTGGTTTGGAGTGATTATCACATGCCCTGCCCCGCCTACCACCCCCACAAATTATGGCACTGTAGGAGGGTACTTTAACCAGAATGGAGAATCAGGCTCTCTGTTTCATATTTAGCTCAGTTAAGCAGCTGTGGCTCGTTTGAGGGCAAAGCTCATTTCCAGCAAGGAAAATTTTAGCATTTTAGCATCAACATTGGCATGACAGAACCTCTAAATGGTATTTCATCTTGGCGCTACATCTAATAGTCTTCCTCTTTGGAGTAGCACGGCCCCTTGCCTGGTATAATTACATCCCTCTGATCAGAGAAACAGAACATTTTTCATTGAAATTGAAATAGCTGGGATTTCATCGGTGCCCATTTAATCTGTATCTAATTAAAATCCATCATTTAAAATGTCTTTTCTCTTTTTTCCCCCCCCAAGGAGGTTGACTTCTGCTTAAAAGGCAGACATGCAGAATAGCAAATCTGTGGGTCCGGGTGAAGTTAAAGGAGGTATGAATTTGGCCCTGCCTTTGCAAGGCACTTTGAAAGTGTAAAATGCAAGTATTATCATCAGTAAAGTGTATAATGCTTTGTGGTTCTGAACCTTATTACAGACCGTTAATTAAAATAATCCATTCATCTTGATCGGAGAACGGTTTCGCTCTCGGTAAGATGATTTTCTTTCAGTCAGCCACCAGGGGGCAATCAGAGACATGCATACACATTAACAGTCTCATCCTAATGAAGTTGAGAAACCTCAGGGTCATTTCTGCACAGTCCTGGTAAAGTGAAAAAAATTAAAAGGGAAGATGGAAGAGAATCTGCACCGAGGTTGGGGCCTTCCTCCCTTACAATCGCTGATCACGTGACATAAATCCGAGGGCTACCCTGAAAGTCACAGAGAAAGAAGAGATAGAAAAAAGGCAAATATATACTGCGGGTGGGGGAACATTCCTCCCCAAGCCCAAACTGAGCCATTAGCATCGATATACCCATGCCGCCAAAGACTGTGCTTCCTTTCAGGAACAAGAACAATGCCCATGACAAGAGTGTTTTTGGGAACAGACCCTCAATTTCCAGGCCACTCATTCTTTACTCCTCAGCTTTGCTCACAAACTCTCTTGGAGGTAATGGGTTACAAGTCTCAGGAGTCCTTCTGCCCCTTGAGTGAACTTGTTCTCCCTATCCAAGGGTATAGAGCAGAAATGTGAAACTCTTCTGGCTCAGAGCATCACTGGACCAGTCTGTGAGTCTGACTGGACCCCATCCCCTGTGCAGCACCCACATGGACAGGTCAAGCGTGCACTGGACCTCGAGGCTGGCATGGAGTACATGCTGCCAGTGGTGCATGAGTGGGACCTGGTGCTACACATGGTGCAGTGGGGCCAGGATGCAAACCGGACCAACCCCCTGTGCTACCTACAGCATCAGGTCCAGCCTGTGCACCCTGTGCTGGCTCTGTAGCATGTACAGCCAGTCCAGCCCAGCATGCTGTGTGCATCGCATGCTGTGTGCATCACATACTGGTCACAGAGCTTTCTGTGCAGGGCTGGCACAAGTGTGAGCTGGACCCAGCACTGCAGATGGCTCTGTCTGGGGTGCATATGACATGTGGGTGCATGCAGCCCACACATCATATGCAGCACTGGGTTGGTAGGTGGCACATGGAGTCAGTCCAGCATCCCAGGGGCTGGATCCTATGGCTTCAGGGGCTGCATCTAGCCTGTGAGCTGTATATTTGACACCCCTGGTATACAGACACTACTTGGGCAGTGTAACTCTTGAAGAAATTGCATGGAGAAATTATATTAGAGAGAGAGAGAGAGAATGGGGTAGACAAATATCCACCTGGGATGGTCTACATCAGCAGTGCCCACCAGTCCCACATGTGAGGATGGGGCTCCAGGGGTCCCGCATTGCCTCTCCCCACGTGGGGACTGGGCTCCAAGGGCCTCGTGCTGCCTCTGCCTTGCCCTGTGTGCTAGGGTCAGGTCATGCACGCGGGGCCAGATGACATGGTGCCAGGAGCCAGATCAGACTCACAGGCTAGGTGTTGAGCACCCTTGATCTATGGGTATTCAACCTGCCTCAGTGCAGGAGGGTGGCCTCGGTGATTGGTTGCAATCCCTCTGCCTTGCCATGACCGTGCGGTGCGGCACAGCAGCGATCGTGCATGCTCTCTGATTCCAAACAATGCACACCCCGGGCTGGCTTGGCTGTAGGTGCAGCTGTCAGATTTGACAGGGGAAAACTAAATGCTTCCCACTGCCAAATGCTCCTAGCGTTCCATAACAGGCCAAACCTCAGAGTCATTACTTACGCTAAATGCCCGTGATCGTCAGGCTAAATCCTGAGATGCAGTCTTGGGTTTTTTTACTGCAGCAAAACTCTTTTCTGCTTTGGAAACTGAAAATAAAGGAAACACTGAGCTTCATGCAAAAGGCCAATCTCTTCTCTTTCCCGGGGCTTCACTGTGTGAACATTAACACGCTGATTTCTTTTGGCATTCAATTCCTGGGGACTTTTATATGATTCCATAGGAAGTGCCTTGCAATTTAGCATTAATTAATGTCAATTAATGTATTCAGTTGCTAAGCTCTGGAATCAATTTCATTACTTTTCCCACACAGATGTTTTCCCTGCCATAGGTAATTAGGACATTATGCTTCTCATTTCTAGCATCCTTACCTCCAACAACAGCTGCTGCTTTTAATATACAATAACAACAAGGCCAGGTTGTGCCTAGAGAGAAGAACATAGCAGTTGCCATCTTTCATCAGGCCAGTGCCCAGAAGAGTATGAAAGACTCTATCTAGTTCAGGATCCTCTCCTTAGAGCGGCCCAGTACTAAAGAAGGTGCAAGAAACCTTGTGAAAGGTCAGGACAGAAGAGATGTCCCATGAGAGAAAGCCAAGAAGATAAGCTGTTGAGGTCAAGGGGACGCGTGAACTATTGCTGTTGCGCAGAATCTGCATTCAAGAGCCAAGAAAGAAGTTTGCTGAGCTGGATCAATTCTTTCTGGCCGGCTCAAGGGCTGTATGGATGGAGTTGAAGGGAGGTGCATTTATTCTCAGTGGTGTGCTGGTGGTTCAAGAACGGGGAAGGGGGACGTTCCTGGAGGGATGTTATCGGAGCTCCAGCTTACCAATGCAGAGAGAGAGTTAAACCTCATTCAGAAAATGGCCCCCAAAAGTCAGTGGGACCCCCTGCTGTAGGGTATTCCTTGGGTTTATACTTCAGTTCTGGATACCTGATTCCTAATTACAAAGGATTTTCATAGATGTCATAGACATTAGGGCTGGAAGGGACCTTGTGAGATCATCGCGCCCAGACCCCTGCCCAAAGGGGCAGGAAGTCAGCTTGGGGTTACATCACCCCAGCAAGATCAGCATCCGAACGTTTCTTAAAGGTTTCTAGAGTAGGTGCTTGCATCACTTCTGGGTGGGGGGGAGTCTATCTTGGACGGTAAAGAAATTTTTTCCTTATGTCCAGTCTAAAACGGTCTTTTTCCTGACCTTTTTGACATTTTTTCCAACCATGAAGGCAGCTAAGTTCTGGAACAGAGTGCCAGGAAAGGTTGTCTACAAGCTGTCTAGACAGACACTTGTCTGGGATGGTTTAGACAGGAAAGCTTCTGCCTTGAGCAGGCGGCTGAACTAGACAGCCTCCCGAGGGCCCTTCCAGCCCTACTTATCTATACCTCCAATGCCCATGGAAATTAGTAGATCAGCATCCATGGATTTCATCAGAGGTTGGATCCGGTGGCTGGATAGCAGGAAAGCACTCGGCAGTCCGCAACATATGAATGTAGACTCGTGATGCAGCGGAGTAGGCAGCCAGTCCCTTTGGGGTGGGCAGGGGAGGTATATTCATATCACACAAGGATCAAGCACCCTGTTGG